TTATATCACAACAATAAATAAAACACTAAACAACACCAAGATTGTTCACGCAGGAACCCAACGTGGAAAAAACTCCGGGCAATTCGCCAATCAAAGATTCACTATAGACTAATAGTACACTTACAGACCACCAGCAAAGTTGACAACACAAACTTTCTGATCTCCTGTCTGAAGTAAGAATCAGCACTCCTGGAATGTGCACACGAACACCAAATTTGGCTCTTCTTTGTAAAGCAATCCTCCTAGAATGAGCACACGAAATCCAATCCTGACTCTTTACACAATTTATCTCCTGTAGATCTTCTCAAATAACCCATCGTTCTTCAGATTCTCCCTTGATCTTTAATACAGCACAGTTGACGACACAATCTTGCAGCAAACCCAAGCGAAGAATGCAATCCAGTGTTTGATTTGACTCTTTGATGTTTTCACAATGATTGACACATCAACAATAGAAGGATTGAACTTTGATTATTGTAAAGCATGTATTATCTTTGAATAATATGATATCCAATCTCTCTTCTGTAAAAGGTGCGGCGCCTCAATATGTAGGTTGGACGAAATAGGTTGTATGGGCCAAGTAAAAATCTTGGAAATATAAAATTAGGTCTGGCCGAATAATAAGCCGCTCGAGCGAGAAAGCTGCTTTGCTCGAGCGAAGGGTCTGTCGCTTGAGTGACAGTGAGGCGAAGGTCGAGCGAGGCTGTCTTTGTTCAGTCGCTTGAGCATCACTCAGCGAGCAGCTAGCGAAAAATCTACGTGAATCCTTCTTGTTCCAAACATGAAACTTCAAACCCTAAGTTAACCTACCAACTATGAAACTTTACAATTTAGTCCCTAAACTTATATAATTGATCAAGTTGGTCAATTTGTTCACAGAATCGCCAAAACAAAATATAAACCTAACAAATTCCCCCTTTGGCATTCTGTGACAAAGCTCAATACAAACCANTCACTCTAGCGAGCAACTAGCGCCAAATAAGCGTGAATCCTTCTTGTTCCAAACATGAAACCCCAAACCCTAAGCTAACCTACCAACTATGAAACTTACCAATTTAGTCCCTAAACTTATATAATTGTTCAAGTTGATCAATCTGTTCACAGAATCGTCAATACAAAATATAAATCGAACAACATAGTCATAGGAAAAGTTAAACGTGTCTTGATTTATGATTAAATTAAGTTAGGTAAATAGATCTTGTTCCGAATTTCTAGACAAAAAATTGTATATATGTGAAGTGAAGTAAAATGTGTATAAAAAAGTTCTCACGCGCTTTTAATTTTCATCTATAATTTTATCTACATGATTTTCAATATTATCTCAAGTACGCACGCATTCTTTAGCTGTAGTGATAGCTTGAATTACAATCTACAAGTCGTTCATTTAGACT